ATTTCTGTTGAAGTACTTAACGAACGATACAAAACAAAAATTTAAATTAAGAAAATTAATTACATTGAAACCGCCCTTGTCCATTCTAGTTAAGACTCCCAAAATTTCGTCCTGCCAGACGAAATTTCACAGCAATATATATATATATATATACTGTTTTTCTTGCCGATTCTGTCTTATTTGGCTATTTTATAAGTAGGTGGTAGATACTCTTGTAAGTTGAAGGCCAAAAATAATGCTGAATTACAACCATCTGTAACAAAGATACAAAATCACAATGCATTGTGCCTCTTAGAAGAGACCAATGGATTGGTATATAATTCTGGTATTTGTTCTTTTATACACATAAAAAATGAAATTGCTTACTGTCAGTTCCTGGTTTAGTGACCAGCTTTTTAATTATTTTCATTTGTGACGCGGTTATTAAAAACGAAAGAGTTTTTTGGGAGTTTTGCTCCCATTCTGTTAACAATCTATCTTTACTTTTGAAGCCCGCTATAAAATCGATGTCGATCTGAAATAGAATGGGTTGTCAATAAACAAGAATATTCCAGTGGCGTATTTACGAAATAGCTACAGGGGGAGCGTAAAGAAAGAAAACCAATTTTTTACAAAAAATTAGGAGTGTATGTGCATATGCATTGTGCATGTATAAATATAGTGGGTATAATAAACACAGAAGGTCCATTTTCAAAATAGTTTCCAATTTTATTGTTTTATCGTTAAGTACATACTCGTATACCTATAGGTATAGATAGCTCATATTGGTTAAATTTATGTCAAAGGAATAGGTAAATTCCTAAATTTATAACAACATGTGGCGACCATTAACGCAATGTGCAATCGATAGATCCTAGAAATAGTACATTATATATCAAGGTAGAGAAGTCAACTATTATTGCCTGAGCACCAAGATTACATCTCGAGGCGCTTGCGCCGAGGGGTGTAAGGTGCGAAGGCAATAATAGACTTCTCTACCGTGGTATATATACTATTTTTTTCACTACTAGCACTTGAATCCTCTAAATTAACATATTATATTGATAAGAAAGTGAACGGTTGGACAGAATTGTTTGTTTCTTAATTTAACATGTCAATCAAGTACGTGGAAGTACAAGTCAAACAGGCCGTATTTTGTTCTGTCATTGAGATTTTTCAAAGAGTAATTTCGTTCGAATTTTTTCAAAATGTGATAATTTTAGGTATGTAATTTCTCTGGAAATTGCGAATGGTGGCAATTATTCGTTTTAGAGAACTTGTCTAAACGTTCATTGAGCGAAATTTCGGGGTGTGTTTTCTAAAAGTGACAGCGTGACAGTTCTCATTATTGACTACTAGTTAATAATAAAAAATTATTAACCACTTTGAACAAATGCCGAGAAAGCCTACTTTACAAGTGGAAAAAGGTTAATAATCATGTCATCAGACGCTAGTAGTGAAAAAAACAATATAGGTGGTTGTCTAGGTGAAACAAATTAAATAATTAATAATTGGCATTCTGTTTATATTTCAAAACGCTAATAGTTCTTTTCCTGTATTTTGTAATAAAACGCTACAATTTGGTAACCCCGACTTGAGACGTGAGTGATTACGTGCGAACACATCTGAAAAATGGAACAACAACTACAGGAACAACAAACGCTCATCGCGCGGCTGCAGAAACAATTAGCGGAAAGTCGACAACAACCGGAACCTACAACAGATACGATAGAGGAGATTAGAAAGGTTAAATTACCAATTTTTTGGCAAAAGGACCCCGTCCTATGGTTTGCACAAGTAGATGCCCAATTACATACGTATAAAATCAGGTCAGACATCACAAGATTTTTCACAGTGGTAGCTGCACTAGATTGTAATGTATTACAACAAGTCTCCGACGTCGTGGCTAATCCACCCTCGACAGACAAATACGAGACCATAAAGAAGAAACTCATTGCGGCGTATTCTGACTCGCAGGATGTTCAGTTGCGCAAGCTGCTTAATGAAATTGAATTAGGTGATCACAAACCTTCCCAATTACTGCGACAGATGAGAAGCTTAGCAGATAAACGCATTAACGAAGACGTACTGAAGACCTTGTGGGTGCAGCGCTTGCCTCAAAATGTCCAGCTCATTCTTTCTGCCAGCGAAGGTGTCACGTTGGATAAGATGGCCGACGTCGCAGACAAACTTGTGGAAATATACGCTTCTGGGTCGATTTCTGCAGTCAACCGTGCTGCGTCTCCCAGACGCACGGACATGTCAGAATCTGCATCTGCATTATTAGTAATGCAAAAACAAATTGAGATGCTCACTGACATGGTTGAAACCCTCACCACCGATAGAGGACGTTCACAACAGCGTTATGGTCGATCTAAATCTCGTTCACGGACACACTCCGGTAACTCTAGACATCGCCCAGCAGAGGAAGTTTGTTACTACCATGCCAGTTTCGGTGAAAAGGCAAGAAAATGCAAACCTCCCTGTAATTTCAAGCCGAAGGAAAACTAAACAACCCACCGACACATGAGGCAGTGTTCGGGGGTAGCGAAAAACATCATCGCCTCTTCATAACAGATAAAAAGTCCGGAATTCGATATCTAATCGACACGGGAGCAGATATATCGGTGCTTCCAAAGCAGTTCTTGGGTAAGTCAACTTGCATACTCACTAAAGTGTCGCTTTTCGCAGCCAATGCCTCACCAATATCAACTTATGGAGAAAAATTAATTTGCCTCGACTTGGGATTAAGGCGATCGTATAAATGGACTTTCGTTATAGCCAACGTCTCTCAACCCATAATAGGCGCAGATCTTTTGAGTTATTATAGTTTGCTAGTTGATTTAAGAAACACAAAACTTATTGACTCGAGAACTCAACTCACCTCTGTCGCTAGCATTGAAGACTGCGATGCTCCAACAATTACAACTCTCGTAGTTTCTTCAAAATATCATGAGGTTTTGGCTCGATTCCCAGATATCACTCGCCCCGTACCGCCAGACACTAAAGTGAAGAGCTCCACGGTGCACCACATTATCACAACTGGACCGCCTGTATCGCAACCAGCTCGTCGACTTTCGCCCGAAAAATTAAGAATTGCCAAGGCGGAATTCCAGTTTATGATGGATCAAGGATGGTGCCGACCATCCAATAGCCCGTGGGCTAGCCCACTTCATCTGGTACCCAAGAAAACACCAGGAGACTGGAGACCTTGCGGTGATTACAGACGATTAAACAACATTACCACCCCAGATAAGTACCCAGTGCCAAACTTGCAAGACTTTTCTTATAAGCTTCACGGTAAGACAATTTTTTCGACAATAGATTTAGGGTGGAATTCATAGATATTACTTAAGTTACACTTACACTTTACTCATACTTAGCGCGTACTACTAGTGGTATTCAATGATATAGTTAAGGTGACGCATAACATTATTGCTATAGTAACGCGCCAAATTCGGACAGATACTAACAGTAAATATAAGTTCCACTTAAACCAAACTAAGTGTGCACTTAGTAAAGTGTAAGTCTAACTTAAGTAATGTCTATGAATTCCACCCTTAGTGCGTGCTTATAATCAAATACCCGTGGCTGAGTGTGATATTCCAAAGACTGCAGTGATCACACCTTTTGGACTTTTCGAGTTTAGTGTAATGACTTTTGGCTTAAGAAACGCAGCTCAAACTTTTCAAAGACATATTAATTTAGTGTTAGCAGATTTTGATTTTTGTTTTTGTTATGTTGATCACATTTTAATTTGTTCCTCTTCTCCTGAAGAGCATTTATTTCACCTTGAAAAAGTGTTTCAGCGCCTTAAAGAATTCAAAATTATTGTTAATCCTGCAAAATGTGTTTTAGGCGCTGATCAGGTAGAATATTTAGGCCACCTTATATCAGCTGATGGTAGCTCGCCGCTCCCTGGCAAAGTATCTGCAATCCTCAAATTTCCGAAACCGACCATCGTCAAGGACCTACGTCGTTTCCTAGGCATGGTAAATTTCTATCGGAGATTTATGAAGAATGCTGCTGAAATCCAGGCTCCTTTGAACGATTACCTGAAGAACAGCTGTAAAAACGACAAAACGGCTATTATAATGGTCATCCAAAGCTGAAATGTCTTTCGAACGATGCAAGAAAGATCTGGCGAACTGTGCTCTTCTAGCACATCCAATCGAAGGTACAACACTCGCGCTGACAACCGACGCTTCAGATTTCTCAATCGGCGCAGTCCTGGAACAGTGCAACAATGATTCATGGACGCCGTTAGGTTTTTTCTCGAGGAAGTTGAGTCCAACACAGCAACGGTACAGTACATATGATCGCGAGCTTCTGGCCATTTACGAATCGATTAAATTTTTTCGGTTTATGGTGGAAGGGCGAGATTTTATAGTAAAGTGCGATCACAAACCTTTGATTTACGCTTTTAAACAAAAGGCAGATAAATCCTCTCCTCGCCAGCTTAGACAGCTTGACTTCATAAGCCAGTTTACAACCTCCATTATACATATTCCTGGAGAAAGTAATGTCGTTGCTGATGCTTTATCCAGAATCGAAGAAATAATCACGCCTACTGTAATCGACACTGAAACACTCGCCGCTGAACAAGAAATTGATGGAGAATTACAACGGCTGTTGAATGGGAGCCATCGTTAGAAATGAAAAAGCTTTGTCCATTTGATAACAGTTCAACAACAATAGCCTGCGATGTTTCTACAGGCATAATCCGTCCTTATGTATCTAAAAGTCTACGACGAAAAGTTTTCCATATGTTTCATAATCTCTCACACCCTAGTGGACGAAACACCGGTCGAGCGATAAAGAAGAAATTCGTTTGGCCATTCATGAATCGAGACATCACGTCATGGGCGCGATCATGCATACAATGTCAAAAATCGAAAGTATCACGACACACAGTGACCCCTCTAACTTCTTTTACTGTTCCAGATAGTAGATTTTCGCATGTCCATATTGACATCGTAGGACCACTCCTACCTTCCCAAGGGCACAGATATTGTCTCACAATGTCCGATCGTTTCACCAGGTGGCCGGAGGCTACCCCTATGGTGGACATCTCCGCCGAAACAGTAGCAAAAACATTTTACTCCACCTGGGTGTCTCGTTATGGATGTCCACAACGCATTACGACTGATCAAGGACGTCAATTTGAAGCTTCACTTACCTCGTCCTTAACGAATCTACTTGGGATTAAGAGATGCCGCACGACCGCCTACCGTCCACAATCGAATGGTTTAATTGAACGCTGGCATCGAAGCATGAAAGCCGCCATTATGTGCCATAACAGCACTAATTGGTTTGAGCTACTACCAACTATCCTCCTTGGACTAAGAACAAGTTTCAAAGAAGATCTACAATGTTCGCCTGCAGAATTAACTTATGGAACTCAGCTCAGAATTCCAGGAGAATTTTTCTTTGATGGCGAATATCCTTCCGTGGATCCTGTAACCTTCGTCGATCGACTTAGAGATCAAATGCGTGAGATTCGTCCATGTCCAATAGCACGACGTGGAAAAACTGCAGTTTTTGTACATCCAGAGCTGCAAAAATGTACACATGTCTTCTTAAGAGTTGATGCAGTACGAAAGCCGCTTCAGCAACCTTACACCGGACCTCATGAAGTAATCAAGCGCAGTGAGAAAGTTTACACTATTCTATTTAACGGTAAAAGTGTCAACGTTGGCATTGATCGTCTAAAACCAGCTTTCCTACCAGAAGACATGTCAGAGATAAAAAATGAAAAAACTGCATCTGAAGATCATTCTCCTCTTTTAACAACTCGACTACGAAAAAACACTAAACCGCTTGTACGTTTCCGCGACTACAACAATTAGGTAGTCACTGAGGGGGGAGTACTGTGGCGACCATTAACGCAATGTGCAATCGATAGATCCTAGAAAAACAATATAGGTGGTTGTCTAGGTGAAACAAATTAAATAATTAATAATTGGCATTCTGTTTATATTTCAAAACGCTAATAGTTCTTTTCCTGTATTTTGTAATAAAACGCTACAAACATATTAACACGTCTATTTTTCTGACGCGCCAACTTATCTAAAACCCTCTCTAAATCGACATCGTGTTGACGATGAATACTTAACACTGCAAGTCCATTAAGACGATTCTGAAACATACCATTGTTCACATTACCTATGCAATTCAACATAATTTATTCTTAACACATACCTGTCCAATAGTATTTCGGAGGTATGTTTTAACTCTCTTTAACGTGGAAAAAGATCTTTCGCTAGTTGCTGTAGATACGGGCAAAGTAGCTAGTAGCTGAAGTAACCTGTTAGGAAAAAAAGAATGCCGACATCGCGCGCGATGGGCACACGCCCCCTATGCCCCCCCTGTAAATACGCCACTGGAATATTCTAATAATATTACGTCGAAATCCCGAATTTTCGAGCGTATAACCGCAAGTGTTCCTAGTGCGGAACACAGGTGTCCAGCAGCGTGTCACAAAGAATCTTTACTTTTTTATTAAACGGTTAATGATAAAGTAGGTAGGTACTTATGTCATTCAACGATAAAACCAACTAACCCCTTACGGATGACCTACTATTATAAAAAATGTTCAAACCAAACACTATCTTACTCTATAATAAACAGTATTATGGTTACATAAACTAACCACTATATTAATGAACTGATATTATTGTTAATTGTCCCGTCAGGGGACATGTTACCTATTCACTACTCCAATAATTGCGTAGGATTGTACAGTTTGGCTGTTTCAGTATAAAAGCTTTCCTTTTTGCCTTCTCAATGTCTCCTCGTGTGTAACCTGAATGAATAGTCCATGTCTACATTCGGTGATTGATGGTTTCCAGCGTTTTTCTCTCTCTCGGGTGGCATCAGCGATTTCAACAGGTACACTTGAATCCTCTCAGTTTGTAACAATGTTTTCATCACAAATATTATCATCGGACCGAAATTATATGTGCATACTTTTGGATTTCTAATCTAAAGGTCTACAAATAGAAATATGATTACTATTCTTCCAAGCATGAGCGATATTTACGAAATGTGAAACTTGCGGTAATGCTTCTCCCCCAATTAGTTGACGTACGAAATGAGCGAATGAGTGTCATTATGTCAACCACGAAGTCCTCTGCAAAGAAGAGACCTTTTTATTTAACGAAATAAACTTAAATCGCATACATTCGTCGAGACTGGCAAATCCCTATTTAATTGATTTAAAACGGACGAATTACCTAACTGTTTTAATTTGGTTTTCCGTAAAATATGTATATTGAATATGCAAATGTTTTCAAACAAAGTTGTGGTAGATATATATGTGTGGACTAATCCTATGAAATGTATTCATTTAAACTTCTGTGAGTTGAATTATATTCATTTCTTCACTATAAAGCATGTGCCGAGGAGTCATGTTAAAAAAAAGACTTGCATAACTAGAATTTGAACACGCACCATAATAATGATGGGTATAGAATATCTGCTTGCCGATTTCCTGACCCAATAGGTTTAAACATGTGCCGATAGATGATGTGGTGTGGTGTTTAAAAACAAATATTTCAAAGGAAACTTATGTCCGTTTGCCCGGGCAAATTTAAGCGGAGCTTGGCTTAAGGCGTAGCTTAAATTAATCCGTGGCAACGATTATTAAAAGAGATTTATTTTAGATGAAGAGCAGGGGGATAATCAAATTGCTAGTGACCGAGAAAGGGGAAATAACATACGAAGATTCCGATAATGATCCAGATTTTATTCCCGATAGTCCTGGTAGTGAGAACAGATCCGATTAATAGAAAATACAGTTAACGTTGTCGCGCACTTATCCGTTCCCTTCCGGTCCGTTACCGTACAGTAAAATTCTGCTTCCATGAAATGCATGCAATTAAACGTAATGCCGCGTATTTATGCAGTCCGTTCCGTTATGTCGCTGTCCGGATTCTAGGTCTACAATCCCATCCGTCCGATACCGTACAGCGCTTGAACGTGTAGGACAAGTACGCGCGTCCGAAACCGGCATCGTACGGCACGGGATTGATGATTGATTGACGATATACTGAATGCAATCGTTCGCAAGCTATCCCCTGTAGACAAGAATCTGAAAATAAGGGTTTTAGTCACATCCGCCTAATGATCTGTTTATATAGCATAACATTTCTATTCATAGTTTTAACCTTAGTTCATAACAGATTGATTACTCTTTCAATTGCTGCATGTAAGAAAAGGTGAAATGCTCTTAGAAATACTTACAGAAAGGCATTAAAGTCTCATGAAAGTCGTAGTGGAGATGCTGCAACAGACAAGAAATTATGACGATTTGAATCTCAAATGGCATTTCTACGGCCATTTTTGTCGATGAGAAATCAAACAACAAATGTTGTAGATGGTGACAATAACATACGAGATGGAAGTGATGATGGACCTGATGGAGGAGAACCTCAAGATGATAGTGCATCCGTTACGTCGCCTTCTATGTCTCGAACATCAACACCAGATATATCGCATGCCCAGGTTAAAAGGAAGCAACCAACATCTGCAGCCGTTGTGTTGCAGAAATATCTAACAGAAAAAAGAGCAAGACCAATTTTACCGTCAAAAGATCAATGGGGAAAATTTTTTGACTCAATGGAAGAAACCGTTCGGACATTTCCTGCAAATGTACAGATAGACGTTCAATCGAAAATATTTAATGTGGTGCACGAAGCCGAAAAAAGCTTGATCTGTCCAATCGTAGAGAACATTTCGGGACAACCGCCTATGTTTAATTCAAACCAAAACCTTCCGAATCATTCATATGGCGCAAATTACACACAAATGACTCAATTACCTCATCGTACGTAACCTTCATATGGAAGTCAATATTACCAGGATTTGCAGCTATCCATTCTTGGTTCACAAACCAATACGAATTAAAATACTTATATGTGTGTGCATATTCTATACAAGTACCAAATACTAAGCATATTTCTGTATAATATAACAATATTAAAATAAACTCATTGTTCTATTTGGTTGTGTTTAGGTACTTACCTTAACTTTACTGATAACCTTCCTTCTTTCGAAATTGCTTTCCTAAATCGTGTGTTCTGTAGAGTCAATTTATCTTCCAATATATTAACAAACTCAGAAAATTTTCCGTGGCTCATTCTGTAATATTGGAAGAACTTTCGTTCGTCATTTATCAAATCCGAGAACAAGTGTTGAAATTCACCATGTTCCTTCCGTTTGCGATTTATCGGATGAATCCACATTCTCTTCTGGTTAATCACTTCTTCTTCATCCGCTAATAAGGCGGACAGTATCACTTCTTCTTCTGCACTTGTATCCACATCCATGCTGGTATCAAGAAAACTAGAAAACACAACTTAAACAAAAGCAATCACGGTCGCGGTCGGAATGAAGACATGCGCGGTGCAGCGTACGTCGTCTGAAAGCGCTGTACAGTTTACGGACCGTAACAGAACGGAAAAGTTAGCGACAACCTTTAGCAAGGCAGTTGAGAAAATAGAAACCGGACACGACCCCAAACCAAAGGGACGAAAAAGACGCAGAGACGAAAGTACTTGGAAGAGAAATGTAGCATAAAAAGCGAGATTCCCCTTTCAATGTGAAAAAGAAATTACTTAATGGATGAACATGGCGTAAGCAAGTATACCATAACTACAGGTTACTATTTTTTGCGTCTCTCTCTCTCTCTCTCTCTCTCTCTCTCTCTCTCTCTCTCTCTCTCTCTCTGTATGTATGTATGTATGTATGTATGTATGTATGTATGTATGTATGTATGTATGTATGTATGTATGTATGTATGTATGTATGTATGTATGTATGTATGTAAGTATGTATGTATGTATGTATGTATGTATGTATGTATGTATGTATGTATGTATGTATGTATGTATGTATGTATGTATGTATGTATGTATGTATGTATGTATGTATGTATGTATGTATGTATGTATGTATGAATGTATGTATGTATGTATGTATGTATGTATGTATGTATGTATGTATGTATGTATGTATGTATGTATGTATGTATGTATGTATGTATGTATGTATGTATGTCTGTATGTATGTATGTATGTATGTATGTATGTATGTATGTATGTATGTATGTATGTATGTATGTATGTATGTATGTNTCCAACCGCTATTGCCGTGCCTGCACCTTTTACAAAATTTTGTTTCGTCGTTTAAAGCGTTGGAGCTCAAGTGGTGGAGACAAGACAGGACAAGCAGTGAACTGAGTCAAAGTTTGCAAATTCCTTGTTTCCCAGAAACTATCTCCAGTTTAGGAAACATGTACAAGAAACTCTTATGTCGCTGGCAATTATTTTGATTATATGTTGTAACGAGAGCATTTTATTGAGTTACATTTTTTTGCGAATTTTCGCCTTTGAATTACGCGGAAGTAAAATTTTTCAGTTGTAAAAGTATCAAGGATTTGAAAACACTCCCCCAAAAAATATTGTTCATTGTAGTTTCAAGTGTTTATTTTGTCGATTATATAAGTGAGCGTTCTTCAATCTTCTTCATCAATGGGTTGATTGTTCTAAGCCGTAGTTGTCGCCTCATGATGTGGATTTGGTTTAGAATTACACTCTGTAAATTAATTGTCTTTTGTTACTTCTAGGATTCAGCTAATTGGGAAATTTGCTGATTCTGCAAAAAATCTGAAAGCCAGTCCCAGCCCTAAAAGCCGATTGGTAGCGTAAAAGGGAGATACCAAGATAACCACGGCCATTCACAGTTCGGCATTGTTGTGGGCGTAAGAATGACTCAGTAACTAAAGGGGGGATTATTCCGATTAAAATTATCGTAGCGTTGCAGCTACGGGGAAATTTTCGGTGTTGATATTTATGAAATAGAAAAGCCCTATTTCAATGTTTATTTTCCCACACGTACATAAATAGGTCGCATTGTAACACTTGTCTTTCAATATACTATTCTATTTCGGTGTCACAATGAGCATTTTGTACAACTGTTTTCGACAAAAACAGTGTTACAACGACTTTGATTGTAACATTGTTTTTGGTAATTTTCCATCTCTAAGTTGGCAGTTCGTACACGTACCTCCAACTTTCAACTTCAATGTCAAATCATTAGATGTCAAATCAAATTGCGTAAAATTTATGTGTATTTATTGTTTTTAGTACCCCAAGAACTTAATACATTCCAAATCCGCAGTTTTCTTGCAATAGATGTAACTAATAGTTAAGAGAAAATTGTGCGTTAAGCACATTCAGTGGTACACACCACATTTGTACCGTTTTAATTCGTATGCTCAGCAACGGCCATGGAGTGTCACATTTGCATTATCTCGCTACCGCTAGTGCAGCAGACCACCGATTACTTAAGTTAACATCTAGAATGCACGGATTAACATTATGGACATCTAGCTCAACATTGAATTGCACCGCTACCTTCACGCTTAAAAGGGGTGAACTGTATATGAAATTCTTACTATAAAAAGATATACGATCGTTAAATATAGCAACTACTTACGTAAGCAGTATTATGTTCGATAGATCGGTGTATTCCATTTTGAAATTAAGCAGTATTTTCTTGAAAGATTTGTAGAAATTCGTTATATATAATATATATATATAATATATATTAATATGTATGTATGTATGTATGTATGTATGTATGTATGTATGTATGTATGTATATATATATATATGTTATCGGTTAAGTTTGGCTACACTTTCTCGTATAAAAAGGTAAGTTCGGCTACATAATGTCAAGTTTGGCTACGTAGTCAAAGTTGATACACTAGTCGTGGTAAACTGAGGCATATTTGACTACAAAAGTTTGGCTACAGGAACATATAAATTCTACCATGTTAGTGTAGTCGAAATTCAAGTACATGAGCGGCGAAATTTTTTTTCAATGGGGGTTTTGAACAAATAATTCATTATAGGTTATTTATAGGTTATGTTTGTTACTGTAAATAATGACATCAGTAATTTAATGTAATAATTAATTACAAACTCGCCTTTTTCAAGACTCGTATAGCTTGGATCTACGATCTTATAAGGTATGTAGTTCCCTGAAAGTATTTTTAGATGTAAAACTGTACCTAACATTACCAATGTATCTAATTGATGTAAACATTGTTATAGAAGCCCTAAATCATGAATTTGGAGAGAAAACTTGTTCACAATGAACCTCGTAATATAATTCGTAAAGTAGTCGAATTCTTTGATCGATAAAAAGAAGCAGATCGTTGGGAGTTTTAAACCTCGACTATACGGATGGAAGGGAAACTCCTCACAAGCAATTGTTGGTTTTCGATACAAGAAGTGTTATGAAAAACGCAGGTTGTTAATGGAAAGAAGTGACATCGTAACATTGTGTTCTGGTTATTTAACACTAAAAGAAAACGAACACCTGAATGTGACAAAAGACCCGTTATATACTTGGACGAAACCTATATTCACCCATCGTACGGAGTGAGTAAATGCCTACAAACAGATGAAGTATCGGAAGTTTATAAATCCAATAGGGCTGGTCAGAGGTACATCGTAGTATGCTAGTAGTCGTTCTGGTTTTGTAGAGGATGTCGCACAGTAAATCGGGGGAATTATCACGACGACATGAATCCTACCAACTTCATGCACTGGTTAGAGAAGCATCTTATACCAAATTTACCAGCAAACTCAATTGTGGTTATGGATAACGCACCTTACCATAGTGTTCAAATAAATAAGCCGCCAACGATGAATAATCGTAAGGAAGTGATACGTTCTTGGTTAGAAGCAAATAACATTTCTACGAGAAATGAATTTAT